GATAAGAATGCTGGCTTACAAACAGGAGGGCTCCAGTGCATGTTTTCCCCACTGTGTGATTCAGGCAATTCAAGGCATTTTGTTATGGGCTCGCTCATAAGATGGATGGAGTTTTAACCAGGCATCTGTCATAGTGCTGGCTGAGCTGTATGGTGCCTCAGACTGATGGGTATGAGTGCTAAACAAAGGTTTATGAATGCATGATATTGATGGATGGGAGATTCAGGACAGATAAAAGGAAGTACTTTTTATTGTACATTATAAAACCAAACTGTACTGAGAGAAGAAAGGGAAAGAGTATATGAAAAACCTAAGTTTTATTCAAAACCTGCAATGTTTTCATTTATAAAAAGAAGTATTTCTTCACACAGGACATAGCTGAACTATAGAATTCACTTCCACAAGATGGGCTGGTGGATGGACTGATGGTCTTCAAAGGTGGATCAGGCAATTTAATGGTGGAGAAGGTTATGTGACTACTAGCCCTGATGGCTAAAGGCCACCTGGGGTACCAGGGCAGGATGCCTATGCACCCCAGTGGCTGGAGAAGTGCCACTGCATTCACAGATTGCTTGGGGTTTCCTAGAGACAGCTGGTTGGCCACTGCATGGACAGAACACTGGACCAGACGGGCCTTGTTCTCTTCCATTCATCAGAGTCTGATGGAGTGAAGTACCTTTAAATAAGGAGCATTGGGCAACTCCAAAACTTAGATATAGACTTGTGCAGAGAAAATCTTTTGGTGAATATCCAGGTCATTAATTATTTGTCACTGCACAAATATCCATGCAGTCAAAAAGAAAAAAAAAATATTTGAAAAACTGGAATTCCCTTGTGTATCCATTAGCAAATTTCACAGAGCACCGTGAACAGAGAAAGAATAATTGAGACCGTAACTGGCATGATAGAAGTATTCCCTGAATCCCCTGCTCTGAGTTAGAACTCTTCATGCATTGCAAATTAAGCTTGCAAGGTGACATTCCAGCACCTTTCAATGCTTGTTAAGCATCGGCTAATAATTCTCCTAACAGAAGAGAGATTGTGAAAATTCTTCACATTTACACCAAGGAAGGGATGCTCCAGGCATTGGTCAGGATCCTGACCTGAGAGCGGGTTGGGTTCAAATCCACATGCATGGAGCCCCACATGCTGCCACCAGGCTCTTCTACATGAGGCATTTACTGGGCCTTGTGGTTCTTTATTCACAGTTCTTTAAAGGTTCTTTAGAGGACGTTGCGATCATTCAGTTTCACCTGCTTTTATTTTAAGAGCACTTTCCTCGGATTTTTAGAGCAGAGAAAATGTATTATATCTGAAAGTGAAAGAGCTCTTTTCCTCATTTATTTGTGGCTTTCTGCTATACCACACTGCAACTGTTCTCCAGGGAAGAAGCAGGAAAAACAATGCTCTTTGTATAGAGCTCAGATCTAAAGTCTGTGACAAGAAATAGGTTTGTACCCTTAGTCTATTAATTTATTAGATTGCTTTAAAAACCTATAATCAATTTAAAAAGGTGTCCTGATTAATCAGCAGATTTTTGGAAGGTAATTCTTTTTAGCAGAAGTACTTATAAGCACCACAAGCCAGCTTAAAAGATACATTCTTTCTCCATTCTTGTATGTACAGAAGAAAATGCCTTTTCAAGGCAGTGCTTGCTATAATGTGCACAATGAGGTAAAAAGAAAACAAAAACTTAAGGTCTTCTATATATCTTAATTCTATATAAATTTATATAGATTTACTTGATCGAAACTCATAGCATATCATGCAGTAATATAATCCAGCAATTCAACATGTTTTAAGTCCAATTATTTTAATGTAAATACAGTACTGGAAATAGGATATATGCTCCCTGGACAAGGAAAAATGTCTTGTGTGTACAAAGTACCTAGCACAGTTTTATAATAATTCTCCTAAGCAGTCATAGATTACATTTGAGCACATTGGTGGAAAAATCCAGAACTGACCAAGCTGAGCCATGTCTTCAGTTTAGTTCTGTACAGAGCAATCTATTTATGTCTTCTTAGAGGCTGGGTTCAGACATGACAAGCCACAGTGGTTTTTACCATTGCTGGTCTCTTGTATTCTCTGAACCCAGTCATCGTTTGTCAACATAAGTTTGGTCTTTAGGAACCACAGTAAGAAACAACGGTCTGTTCTATGGTTTTTCCATACCACCATGGCTTATTGTGTTGTCTGAACCCAGGGCTGTGGTGTCTATGATCCCGGTATTCAAGCACCACAGAAGGAAGGAGTAGCAACTGCAGGAACCAGTCCAGTCATCCAGTCTGTATGTGTAGACCAATGAGGAAGAGACAGGCAACACAGCAAAGAGCAATGCGCCTTGGGACTGAATTTGGGGCACAGGGGTTGGTGGGATATGTGCAACAGTTCAGTGGGAGAACTGAGAGGAAGGATAGAAATTACAATAATGTTGAAACCGCTTGATCATCCACCCAGTAGGCTATGGTAAAAAAGCAGGAGCCATGGCAACCATGCATTGTATTGCATGAATGCAGTCTGAGGGTTTAGATACACGTTAGGAAAGGACTGAGTTCAATGAGGCGCACTCTTAGGTAAGTGTGCAGAGCACTGCAGCCCAGCGAGCAGTGCCTTGCTGTCAGATTAGCATAAAAGAATGAAAACTGATCTTTCAAGACTTGCTAGTTTAGTGCTTTTTACATTAGTCTGTAGTGTTGGAATACTTCTCAAAGGTACATAGATCGTGCTTAGCATGCATGCTGTTTGTTCCGGAAGCCAAAGCACTCTTTGTAATATTAAGATGTGAATGGTATAAGGTGTAGTCTTTGGGATTGCACATAGCAATACATGCTTTTGTCACATCTAAACATCTGGTTACATTATTAACTTTGTAGCAACTATATACAGACTAGTATATGCTGTGCTGGAACTACAACTCAAAATTAGATAGTCCATTCATGGCATCAACTGCCCAGAGAGCTTCAGCTATGAGCAGTGTAGAAATAACAACCACAACCACAACAACAATTTCTTGCATTCAGACTGTCCACATGGGCAACTAACATTGTTATTAAAATCCAGAGAAATTATGAGTGCCTATATCATTAGCGTGAGTCAAGCATCTATCTTTTATCTTACCTATTTTTTCTTTGAAGTCTGCTAGCCTGCATGCAGTCTCTGTTCACAAATAGCCGTTTAGTCCAGCAGCAATTCTCAGAATACCCATGGAACAAGCCACTTTGATTTCTGTTGAGGTAAGTTCACCCACTGCTATGTATAGGAACTACAATAGGTCTTTTCTCATAGGAGCTTGGATATATCAAGTTAGGGATGCTGAATTCAAAGTACAAAGAAGCATTAAAGGAAACAATATATTATAACTCAGCTGTGAACTAACTGACCCAAAGCGTATCTCTTACACATCAACTTTCTTGATCCTTTAGTTTCCCTGTTTACAAATGTGGAATAATAATAACAAGCATTCTTGCAAAGCTGTTGAGGTAGTGAATAAGATGGAAAAGCACTGTTATTTCAAGATGAGTTGGAGTCAGAACGTTGTTTAGTCTTTTTGGAGTTAGTTGCTTGCTGTAATCCTCTAATACCAAGTCAGCTGCATGCAGACACTTAAAATAGCCAAATAAGTAACTCAAAATTCAACTATGTATGGGAGAGATGTTTTTAATGTATAAATGCAATTTCTATTTTTATTTTAAGATTGCACAGTTCAAGACGGGGGAAAGTATTGAAATACATATAGGATTTTAAAAAACAAGCAACATATTAGTGCAAACATATGTACCCCACAGATAAGCATGAGAGAACAAAAAAGTAATTGCTGAATAAGGAGTTACTGAATAAGAAATTAGCTTTGCATTACATTCTTAGAAAAATTGTAATGCTTCCTTTACAACTACCCTGATAAAAATCTGAAAATGGGGCATCTGTACACATCTCCTGTGAACTAGGGGAGTCAATGTGTAGCCTCAAGTGGTTACCCAGAAAGCTGAAATGCGAGACTTTAATAAACCAAAGCACTCCAATAACTAGAAAAATCTGCAAGCACATTAACATTGTCATCCTATAAGTATCTAATGAAAAGTAAGTTCAGTTGTGTTCAGTGAAGCACATTCCCAGATGAGCAAGCATAGGATTTCCATCTCATTTCTTGTTGTGTAGATGCAGCTGGGTGGGGAGAAGTGTACTCCTAAGCTTATAGCGCTGGAACATCTAGAAAGCTTAAATTTGGCACCTATATCATCCATAAAATGTTGCTTATTCAAAAGCCTAGATCTGGCATTTTGCCACTAGCAGCAACATTTGGAACATGAGGACCTCAGAAGAGAACCTGTATTCCGGCACATGGAGCATCGGATGGACTGTTGCTTAAGGTTGTGAGGGAGATGCCAGCTCTAGAAGTAGCCAGAAACACGGACTGACGTGTGTGGAATGCAACTTGCATTTACTAGAAACTACACACACATGCATGCATACAATAAAAATATATTTTTTCTTAGTTGGAAAAGAGGAAAGGGTGGGTAAAGCACCTTTAATTGCAGATGAGCAATGCAGACAACCCCAACAAACTGAAATTTGTGAAACCTTCAATAACTGGCTTCAATAACTTCAATCTTGTAACATTCTCATTTTTCAGTATTTTGTGAATGAATTAAAAGGCTTTGTCAATCAATTTTTCTGATTTGAGAGTATCAGTCCAGGATGCAAGGACAGGTTTCAGTGGTGTCCTGGTGCTAGTGCAGATGACCTTGCACTAAGGTAAATCAGTTCTTGTGCTATGTCGCTAGTGCTTGGCATCTGATATTGTTGGATCCTGCCCTAAGTGTCTCTTTTTATTTTATTTAGTACATAAATAAAAAACATATTACATTTTCTAAAAAGTCAGACATGTACTCACCATTGTTCAGAATGAAAAACAACATAACTGTTCAAGCCTTCAGCTACAGAACATCCTTGGCATCCTAGATGTTCTAGAACCTTCCATGACAAATTGACTATAATGTCTACGGAAACTTCTTTTCTGTTGGCTTCATTAGCAAATGTATACAATATGGAACCAAAGCCACCACTGTAAAGGGTATGGCTGCACTTTTACAGAATGAAAAGATGTAAAACAAATATTCAGTATGGATGGGCAACTTGATGACGTTATAAAGTTGCAGGGTAGCTAAGGAAGTGGCGATGCACAGTATCCTGAAACTGGCCTTATAGCCATGTTTACCTTGATGGCTTATGATGAACATATCAGAGTTAATACTGAGTCCGAGCCCAAACAGGGCACCTAAGCTTCTAACCAGTCCAGCAAATGGAGTTGTGTCAATATTGATCCACTCGGGGTTGGCGCACCATTTCTTTGCCTTTGGAACAGACCACAGAAGATCAATATCGATAAACTTGAGAACCAGATAAAAGCCAAGAGCAGAAACAAAGAGAAACACATTTGTCTGGATGTATGTTTTTAAACTTGCTGTTTGAATGGCCGGGGTATGTTCAAATGCTTCTGCAACCAGCATGCCTGTCAGTAAGAAATGAGAAATCAGAAGAGAGATGTTTACTTATGCCAAATCAATTTCAAAAGCTAACTGTAAATCTAGAAAAAGAGTTGGTATTATTTTAAATGTGATGCCATTCTTGTGACCATGAAAGCAGGAAGAAGTGTGGCCAGGACCATGGGAATTGCTTGCATTCACCTGTTGTAAGCCACACAAATGTAGGGTTGGAGGTAATTTGGGCAGCTCAAATATGGTACAAAATATCTCGTATGGACCAGCCTGTAGAAATACAGAGCTAAAAGGGGGCTTATGGCTCATTAATGCCCTGCAGAAGTTACTCTTACACTAAAAACCCCCAGACATGGAGGTTCACAGCAATACTAGAATTCACCCACACCCTATTTCCTCTTAATATTTCCTGCCTCCTTAAAAGGCTTGCCAAGTCATTGTGTTGGAGACTTGGGTTAGGGTTGCGAGAAGATACACTAGAAATAATTTTCTCTGCTTCAGGTATTTTTCAGATGTAGGGTTTTTTTTCCACAGAAAGCATTTATGTTATACTCATCATTTCTAGCCTATGGCTATTTATGGATTCGTTAAATGATATCATGACCCTCCAATTGTGCTTTTGGCTCTAACCAGGACTCTTTAGCAAGTTTCCTTAGAACAGGAAAAGTGTGGCTTTTAATTGCAGACTTGAAAGAAATCACTTTCATTTGTGCATTTGTAGTAGTCTCGGACATCACACTGCCAGCTAGAAGGTATATAGTGGAAAAGCAGGAAAGGAATTCCTCTTTGAGAAGCATTCATATCTCATTTCTATGACAAAACCAAAAGCAGATGCAGCTGATTAACAGCTTCATGTAGAAAACCCCACAAAAACCCTCTCTGAATTCACCAATCCAACACTTCCTTGGTACCATGGGCCAAAGTTTACCGACCCTCCAAAGTTTATGGCCTGTCCATTGCCTTCCTTGCAATGGGACAAAGACACCTCCCACCCCACAAATATGTGAGCTAGTGTCACCTTTTTTCTTGACCTTCTCTTATTCAACTCCGTGGAAGTTCTTGCTTTTGGTCCCCTTTCCTGGTGCTGTTTGTTCTGGGGTTTCCAATGCAGTGCCCCTGGGATGCTCTCCTGGTGTCTGCCGAGCTCCTGGCCCCTCCTGCTTTCTATTTTATTTTGAGGGAATGTGAGAATGGGAAGGAGGGAAGCCTTTTGCCTGTGCTTTGCCTGTGCTTGTGCTGCATGTGTGCACGGGTAGCTTAGCTAGGCCCCCCGTGCGCTTGGCCTGTATGGTTGGTGGGTACTGTGCCTGTCGGTGGGTGTGTCCTTGATCATCAGCAGTTTGTCTACTGTGAAATGGGCCTTCTGTTATGCCTGGGGAGGGAGGCCTATGTGATATGGCATTTGAAGCTCAGGCTCTACTTCTGACCTCGGCTGACTTCAGTGTCTTGGCCAAGTCTCTTGTCTCTGTGTCCCAACCATTTGCTTTCTGCAAAGTGAGTGTAGAACAAAATATGGGCTCAAAAGACCGAAAATGAAAGCAACCCATATTACCAGCAATTACTCCAAGGATAACTTGATGTGGGAAATGTGTTGCTATGAACACCCTCGAGACACACACACTGATCTGAATAATCCAAAACACACTCCAGAGGAAAGACCAGGTCAGCCTGTGAAAGAAATGCAGGATGGGAGAGAGCAGTTAAAAGCAATTCCCAGATGCAAAGGTTTATATCGCTTTCCATTTTCCTTCTCTGAATCTCTTTCTTATTTCTCCAACCCACCAGCCATCTATTTGTCAAGCTCCCTTTGTCCTAGTCTCTTGATGGTCTACCCTTTTCTCTCTGCCTCTGTTCTCTGTACAGGCAGTCTTCCCCTTCCCCCTCAGTTTTGTTGCACTTGGGCAGGCTGTGGGGTCTTCCCACAAATGCAGGAAAGAGCCTCCCGCACCGGGTTCCTGGCATTCCCCAGAGGGGCCCATCAGAACCGAAGGGGGGCACAATCTGCTAGCGGGGTCTGCCTTGTAAGCAAACTATATGTTAAGCAGCCCAGCAGCACTGATCCGTATACACTGATCAAAGCATTCTAGAGCAAATGGAACTTAAAAGCCACACGTTTTGGAAAGAGACTGACCTGTGGAGATTAATGGCTGATTTATCCTTCTGTCTTGCTGTGTACCTGAGAGCTGCTGAAACCATTATGTACCAGACGCAAGACGATCCCATCGCATGTCCTGAGGGGCTTCCTGGAGAAATAACAGAATGAGATTGGGGCAACATTTCCAAAAGAATCACATCATCTAAGCTTCGGCCTTTGTCATGAGACAAGGTTGCCCATATTGAGTTTCCCCAATTGCTTGATAATACATCGGTTATGCTGGGAACCGGCAGACTGGGACCAGGAGTTAGTGAGTAACCCATCCCATAAACACATAGGAAACAACTGCCAACAGCATTCATGCCCAGATGGCCCCCACCTTACCAGGGGAGGAGGGATCTCCATTGAAAACTAGTCTGTCTTCATGAAGAGTGGGGGGAGGGGTCCCAACCCCAGAGGTACTGGGTCCATAAGCATGAATTCAAAGCCAGAGTTTTCATCACTAGTCTAAGATAAAGAGAAAACCACCAGGGTGAACCCTACGTGAATCCCCCGAATCCCCCCCTGCCCCCTTTGGATGCTTCCTGCATTTATCTCCCTTGCTCACTGCAGCCTAGACAGGATGCCCCGGGGCCTTTCCCATCCAGGAAACTGACCAAATCAGACCTAATTTGCTTCAGCACTGGCCTGCACGCCTTCAAGGCCCCTCTCAAGGCCCTGTGACTCGATGCTGAATTGGCTTGCGCATGATCAGTTGTTTGCCTGGCGCATGCCATTTGCAGAGAGCTCACCTTTAAGGCTAACCAGAAGGAAGATCTCTAGATTTTGGGCTTCAGATCTGAGAAGCTCCTGTCAGCATGACCAGTGGTCAGGAATGCTGGAGCCGAAGTCTGAAACACCCAGAGATCTATCTTCTGTCTGCTCCTGATCTAAGAAACCCTTCAGTTTGCTGTTGTGTGCAACCAGTCTCGGTTGCCTTCTTTCAGGGAAATGGATACAATTCTATTTATGCTATTACTGGTCCTAAACTGTTTGATTAGTTTGCATAACCTAACGTCTGTCCTTAGAAATGACTGACCACATATCTGCTACCCAGTGATCCATAAGCCTAAAAGTGTCTCATATAGCCACTTCTTACACTGATGATAATGTGTACAATTCATTTCAGTTCATTAGTTTCTGTATTTATCCCTTATATAACTCGGTGAATATAGGGATGGCATTTCTAGGGTCAAAATATCATCCTAAGAATACTTTCTACGCTACATTTTACAGATGAAGGCTATAAGGTAAATTAATCTTATTGTCTTAGTTCTTGATGGAAGTGTTTACATCTTCACTGCTTTGGCCCGCAGTTTCTTCCCTAATTTACATGCTAATATTTCTTCCAGAGTTTGATAGGGGGCTATTTGCAACTCAAAACAGGGAAGTTGGCAGTATATTGCTGAGCTAAATATTTCTCCCCACTCTAATTTTGTAAGATCATTCATCCCACATGAACGGAGGGGCATCTGAGCAACCTTCTTGAGGGATGGGTGAAATAACCTTCTTTTGAACAGGGAGTCTACTCTTACAAACTACATAGTTGAGAGAACTTTCCTTTTCAACAGGAAAAACATCTTTGCCACTGCTTCATGCAGTAGATTATCAGCCCTCAGCAAATTTGTAATTACAGACATTTGGGGAGCAGCCCAAATTGCCACTGTGTTTCCACTGCTTCTCTTCTGCTAGTGGGACCCTGCACTACTCATGCCCCAGGAAGCAGCACTTCTGACAGAAAATCTGGAAAAAACTGGAAACGCTCATTTCTGGAATGGGAGAAATCAGTGGCACTCCCTTCTGCGAACTCCAGTGACCTACCCTGCTCCAGAAAGAAGTGTTTTGTTTGTTTCTGGTCACTGCAAGAGGCATGAACTCCCTGTTGCTCCAGCAGAGAGTCCTACTCGTGCACCAGCAGCACTGAATACTGCCCAAAATGTTCCATGGCACCAAGACTACATCATGCCACGGCACTGTTCCCCAGGGCATCTTGGAAAAAAAGAGGACTATCTTCCTGCATGCATCACCTTGCCCATGGGGCATTCTGTTACAGATACTTTCTAAAGTGTCCATGACCCTCTTGTAATGTTTTTGTTATTTTTTTAAAAAGGGCAGGAATGCTATCCCTTTTTAAATGTAAACCCACTCCTAAAAATGTTATTTGGCTTTGCCTACCTGCAAAAGATGAACTCAGTCTTGGGGAGGAGGTCATTCCTAAGCTGAAAAAAGATGTGGGTTGAATATTTCAGCCCAGACCTCATACCTTACCTGGCCCTGTTTCACATGTTATAGGGAACTGCTCAAGACATGGGCTTGTCTGGTTAGGATAGATCCTTGTTTCATGGACCCACCAATATGGACGATGTCCAAATAAAATCCTGTCAAAAAAGAAAATACAATCATTAATGAACATACAAACACATACATTATTTAGCAGTATCCAGATTTCTCTTTAAAGGGAAATATGATCAACTATTCAAACCTTAAATGTTAAATAATTTAAGCAAAAAAGCTCAGCTACAGAAGGATCTCTTATCTCAGCCAACTTTGTAAAGTTTCCAAAGAAGCAAAAACTACAACAATTCCAAACTCCTTACCATTTAAATATAAGATTGAGCCAATCGCTGATCACTGCTACCCATATCATTTTAGTCCCAACCACTCGACTAATCTGGAACCAGAGAGGAAAATAAATCGAAAAAATATTCCGAGGATCTCCAACGTGTGACATGAAATTAAGAAAGCTCTGGTAAGACCTATAATCCTTCTGCAAATACTGGATTATGAGCACTCCACTGCTGTGGAGAAGATCCATTTCAACTGGTTAAAAAGCTCAACTGAGTCCCTCAAATGAAGAGACCTTCCCTTTGCTCTTAGCTGAAGTAGGAGAATTAAAACCATGGAAGGACAGTTGTTAAGAACACAATAGCATTGTACGATGGTTGATTTTTCCTTTTATATTGTCCATTGCTGAAGCATGTGACTCTTTCCAAAGACGCATGAGCCTGGTTTTGGAAAGAGGAGGGGTTTTTTTAGTTTTGTTTGCCATTTTAATTGAAGGAAGGGAATGAAGGACGTGCTGATCTGCCATAAATTGGGAGCAGAGGGGAGTACTGTTAAGTACATGTCTTATACAACCACTGTATGAACAGTTGGGTGATGTTTGCTTGACTTTTTTGCACAGTTCATTTCACCTAAGACTGGACATTAGTATTTGTACACTTGATTAACTGTTGCTGCTTCTGCTGCTGTTATAAAAACCAGGAGAAATACCTGAATAATTGCTCCCAGCAGTAGTCATTAAAGCTTTGCATTTTTGTTTGAAATTAAAAATGGAGTCTATTACCATGTTCATCATTTTGTGCAGCCTCTGTTTTTAAACTGTGATTATAAAGAGTTAGAATATAGACAGCAACAAGAGCTTAAAAATGTTTTTGAAATTATTGTTCCCAAATAAGGCAGGACATTATGCAGGTCATGAATAAACTGAAAGGTTAGAATTGCAGGCACTGCTTAACAGAGGGGTACTGTTAATAATGGAAGTTCATGAGAAGATATTTTCCAGAATCTGTAGGCTATCCCAGGACATGATGCCATCATGTACATTTCTGCTTTTCTCACCAACAATGTGGCTGGTGTGGGGAGAAAAACAAGATTGATGCGGTTTGACAAAGGGAAGGTGCTATTTTGTATTATAAAGGGGAGTAAGAAATCTCAGTGCAGAGATACTTTTCAAATTAATGCAACTGGGTGTACAGTGGGTGGACCCAGACTCATACCTAGTGTAGGCCCATTGAAATAAATTGGACTCAAGCCAATTGTGATTGTCTTTGGTCACATAGATTTCAATAGGTCTACTCTTGGAGTATAACTAAGTCCAGACCTAACCCATTGTTAGGGAAATAGCAGCATTGTATGAGGTGGCTTAGCATAGGTGTTAACAACAATTGCCCACCAATTCTGATGAGCTAAAATCAGCACAAGAAAGTTTGACTGCGTCAGTTTTATCTGAGTGTCATTAGGAATGTTCCTTCTGTGATGATTACCTGGTATCTAGCTGGTCAGTAGAATGTTAATGTTGAAGCATTTCATTTTGCATAAATACCAGTTGCCCCCACTCTGGGCTGAATTCATTCCCCACTCTATGCAGAAAGGCACAGGCAACCGGGAAGCTTAGTAGCCCTAAGGCTCTGAGTTAAATCCACCTCTGGAACCTGGCTTGTGGCTCCTCAAGATCTTTGGAAGCTACTACAAGCTCTGGCTTTTCAGAAGAGAGACAAGCCAGGAATCCAGATTTGGATGCAAGGCTAAGATTTCAATGGCTGAAAAGTTCCCTATTACCATGGCTACTCTTAACTGCAGGAAGAGCCAAGAGGCAGCAGTTGGGAATGTATTCCAGCAAGCTTGCTTGCTATCAATAGATAAGAAATCTTAGCAATTTTGGCCAGCTGTTTTGTGCCAAATAATGAGTGAGGAAATTGCTCAAGGTTTGCTTGTTTTGTTACCTGTAGTCATTTACTATTTATATAGCCTATTAAAGAGGATGGCACTTCACAGAATACACGAGGCCACATCCCTGCCAAGATGAAAGAAGGGGGGATTTCAGGAAATAATCAAAATACACATTGCAGTGTAAAGTGGAGATTCCAATTAAATAACCTCATGTGGCACTGATTAAAATATGAAGTTACTGTGGGGTGGTGAAGTTACTGACTATACAAACTGTATGTTCAATGGAGTTGTATAAAACTATCTAATGGGAGGTTTCAGTGGATGAACTGAAAGGACCTCCTCTACAGAAACCAATTGCTTCTTTACTTTAGAAAAGATAAATGTGTTTGAGGATGCTTTTTAGCAGATAGGAGGCCTACAGTGTTTACCACTCTTAATTGGCTGAAACTGATTTGCCTTTCTAATGATCCTGTTCTGAGAAGGTTGTGTTATGTAATCCAGAGTGGCTCATCTACTGCAGTTTCTCCCTCTTTTCTCCTCCCTGCTACAGCACAGAAATGATCCCATATAATCCATCTGAATATGCTCCACCTGGTGGCACAAGCATCTTTCCACAACTAAAAAGATCTATGTGACACTATGTAAGCATATCAATTTAGTTTGCAGTAATTCATTGAAAAAATGCCTGGTGCATTTCAGCAGTTGTTGAAAAGATGCAAATGTTGTTTCTTTCCTTAGGATATCATCTTAAATTTCCAGGGCAGCCTTTCCCAACCCGGGGCCTGTCAGGTGTGCTGTACTGCAACTCCCATCATTCACAGCCAAGCTACTGTCAAACACATCTGAAGGGCCCCAAGTTGGAGTAGGCTGTTCTAGAACGTGTAGGGTTTTTTCTAAGCAATTTGCTTATTTATTTAAAAGATGGCTAGTCCCATTTGCAGGGCAGAAATCCTAACAACATCCTTTAATGGTGCTCTCATTCTCATCCTGCCGCGTTTACAGAATTTGGCTGGGTGTCCAGGCACTCTTATCCTTTGCTTTCTCAAGTTGACCTACTGCTCCTTGCATCTTACCACAGAAAACCCATTAAAGAAAAAGTGGAATTGCTACAAGAGACCTCGTATCAGTAACACCAGGAGTCCTGTGCTTGGAAGCACCCTAGGCACCTAATTGTGGTGGGGAATTTGTCCCGCCATGCATACTGGTCACATGCTAGAGGAAGGGCTTTGCATAGGTTTCCTCATCAGTGTGGCTTCCCACAGGGCAGGAACCCAGCAAAGGCAGCTTGTTGCTGTGGTTAACAAGCCACTTCAGAACCACAGAACAGCACATGTGGTTGACAAGGCGCCCTGCCTGTGTTCATGTGACAAGGGAAGCTGTGCTGGCAAGGGCAAGCATGGCAATTCCCCATCTCTGCGACTGGCACATGCCAGATAGTCCACAAGCCATGATGGCTTATTAACCACCCTGTGATTATGCAAACTGGATCTGAAGCACAGCCGAAAATGATCAAAATATAAAAACAAGCAATATTCAGAACTTACATCATTATAATACCAAATAGATTTGTTTATTACAGTTCTGTACTGTGCACTAGCTGCAAGAAATAAGATAACAATCATAGATTAAAACGTGGTTAAAAGCAGAGTAAACAAATATGAACCAAAGGGGGACTGAGTACATAGCACTGCACTCCTATCTCACATTGGTGTAAGTGTTTAACAGATTATATTATATCCTGCTTAACAGAAATATACCAAATACTGTATATATACAATATTAGACATAATTAAAAACAACAGTAAAATAACATTTAAAATAGTAGCATATAACTGTTAATATATACATTTCTAAAAGCGTAACTATCAATATATTTGGTCAGGTCGAAAAGCCTGCATGAAAAGAAATGCTTCTAACATGTGCCCAAGCTCATAAACCCCTTAATTCCAGGGACAGGGGAGCCCAGAGGGAGGGGCACCTGCCACTTCAAGTGACTGCTGGATGAGTCCAGGCAGCAGACAGCCTTTTGAAGGGGGCAGCTGGCAGTACGAGCAGCACTCCCAAGTTGTTTAGGGCTTTGTACAACTATGACTAACCTTAAGCTTGGCCCAGTGGCAGACAAGCAACTCTTTTACCAGAGGAGCTTGGTGGCCTCTCACAGCAGCTGAGTTGCTGCACAGAGGAATAAATGGAATACCAAAGGCTTCACTTAGCTTGGCTAACTAAAAGTGTGTACATGGTCTGCACTGGTCTGATACTCAGAACACATGGCTTAAGTTTGTTCCTTAACTTTTACCAATGCTTTGGAACTGCAAAATTTGGAGGGTGTGGGGCAAGTGGCATCTATTTCTTTTTTCTTCGCTGGATCTGGGTCACAGCTGCATTCTGAGCAATTCCTAGCTCTGCCCATATCATGCCCAAGATCTGTTCCTGCATGAATACAACTAATTAAAAACTAATTAAACCAGTGTATGCTCTACATATCCCTCCTCTCTGATTTGCATTCATTTACATTAGCAAGCAATAATTTTTATCCAAGTAGCCTATTTATTTCTTTTGACTGGTTCCCTCTGATGGTCCCAATCGGTTTTTGTAGGCTTGCATAAGGTAAATCCTGATTTGCTATTTCTTTCTGTTTTGAGAATTATGCTGCAATCTTATTTATAAATTCCTTTGGCTAGGTAGGATAGGATAAATTATTAAATCCTGAAGTGCCATTATAAAAAAAATCTATATCACTGTTGCAATACCACTGCTCTGTCAGTAGGCTATATCCTACTGATCCCTAGAGCAGTGATGATGAACCTTTTAGAGACCAAGTGCCCAAACTGCAACCCAAAACACACTTATTTATCACAAAGAGCCAACACTGAAATAAAACCTGAAAACTGGGGTTTTAGTTTAGAAAAAACAACTCGCAGCCAGACCAAACAAAAAGCATATATCCTTGGCAATGCACTGACTGGACATGCGAAAGCTTGGATGAGTCACGGCCAACGAGTCGTGGCTTATGATGTCATCGCTCAGTGCCCCTGCTCCTTTCCGAGCATGCACATGGCCCTGATGTGCGCTCTTATTTGTTTATTTATTTATTTATTTATTAAAACATTTTTATGCCGCCCCATTCGCCGAAGCCTCGGGGCGGCTTACAACAAAAAGATTAAAATAACATTTTAAAATATATACAGCTGTCAGCTGTATGGGACGATGATGGAGTGACCTGGCTAGTGTGCCGGCAGAGACGGATCTGCGGGTATGCCGCAGCACATGCTGCTGCGTTGGCTTGCCGTAGGTTCACCAACACTGCCCTAACCCGACCCTGCTGCACTCCCCTAACCCTACTATAGGGGCAATTGTAAAAGA